ATCCCCGTTCCTTTGAGTCAGCGCGCGAAACGGCGCGAATTTTAAGACCTTAAGGTCTTAGTCATCATCGATCGAGCACAGAGAAACGGTGTGGACGGTGTCCTCTCGACCGTGTCCGTCCACTCCTCTCCACAAGGAGAGGAGAGTTTTTCCTCTCTTGGCGGCGGCCTCCCCCTTCCCCTCCCCCTCGACTTCTCCTCTTTATTTCGAACAACGTGCCAGCTGTTGGCCGCGCGATGCGTCTGACGTCACCGATGCACCCGTGAAAACGTTCCAAGTTACCCGAGTCGTCACGCGTTACGGGGAATCGTGTTTATAAACTTTCTTTCTCCTCTCTCCCTCTTCCCAACTTCTTTCTACCCGATGAAATTTTTATGACCTCTTCCAACGATTTTTGAAATAAATGGCGTGCAATTGTTCGCGCGCAAAAAGCAACAACATTTTTTCGATTCTTAGTGTCGAAAGGATTTTCGATTCGTGTTGCGATAAGTTTGCGAAGTAATCGGGAACGAAAAGAGGAGAAAGCGAATCGCGACGAAATGGTTTACACCGATTATAATGGAAAAATTGCAAATGGTAATAAACAGAACGTAACTGGACGGTTCCGTTTCGAGTTCATTCGTTAATGGTGCGAGTGAGGAGCGAGGAGTGGTTAGCAGGAAGTAATTGCAATCGTATCGCCGCACCCTGTCCTCGATCGCTCCTCGTCACGCGACCACATCTTTCGCGCAAAATGTAATTTCAACCATGCCAACTTCGTTCCCTCGTTTTCGCATTCCGCTTCGATCCTTACTTCGAGGAGGAGAAAAAAAAAGAGTGAGATTCCTCGACGAACAGAGAGAAGAAGCTTTCCTCGTAAAGCTACGTTTCGCGAAGAAATTTTTTCCTCGAACAAGAATCGTACGAATTTTTCTTTTCGTCAATCCAAATTTCTCCAAATTTTCGGGAGATAATTACGGGAGGGAAGGAAGTAGGAGAATTGTCACGAGCGGTATTGGCGGGAAGATTGATTTTCAACTTGCAAAATCCATCTTGCAAACGCGACTCGCTCCTTCCAAACATTTTCTCCTCGAAAACGCAGCAGTGGCAGCACGCGTTTTCCAACGTGGCGGAACGCCACTCGTTCGCGGTAACACACGCGCTACTACTCTCCTAATCAGGCAACACAATCGAGAAACAAGTCTCGCGTAGTAATTTCAACCGACTTCCAACCGCGCTGGCCCCATTGTTCTCGCGACAGATTCTCCGGCGTCGTTTCCATTCCTTCCATTCCTCGTCCCTCGCTCCAATTAACGCTCTGCGTGGGCGTTAATCCGCGCGTGTCAAAGTCGTCGCCATCCTTTTCCACCTGAGCTCTCTCGCTCGGAGAATTCAAGCATTGGATCTTGATTCCTCGAGGAGGGAAAAGAAACGCTGTAAATATCCTCTTCTAATTTTCAATTATGCTCGGCAGGGAATTGGAAAGTTGTTAAATCGAAGACGGGAAGTTCGCTTCGTTACACTCTGTCGAGATTAAAAGTTGGGCAGCTCTGTGTTAATGGAAATGCATATACCGTGCACGGAAATACGAGCATAAACATGTAAATGGAAATGATTTTACGACGAGGACGTATGCTTTTAACGAATTATTATTCGATATTATATCAACGAAAGGATTATTATTATTATATATATGTATTGTTTACAATTATTTTTAAAACAGACGAAGAATGGATATATCGTTAGATTCGATTTCCTTTCGAAATAATTCGAAGGGAAATAAAAGAGACTGGGGAAGAATTTTAAATGCAGCCGCGTGACGGCACAATTTACGAGAATGGAACGACGATCGTTTAATTATCCTGGTCGCACACTTTCCACGAAAAGAGTATCGTGTTTCTTTCCGGTGAGCCACGGAACGCATTACGATGAACCGAGTCGCCCCTTTAAGGAGGAATCGCTCGTCTTTCGTTCCCTTTCGAATCGATATCTCGCGAACCGAAATATCTCCCAGATAACGAATTTAGCCGCGCCAAGGTAAAAGGGAGAGGAGGGGAGGGCCAGGCTTTCGTTCGAAACTCGTTCGGAAACGAAACGCGCGGATACCGAGAATAGCGCGACCAGAAAGATAAACAAATCGTCCCGAAAATTCCGCTCCCGAGAGGAGGAAGCCTCCACCATCACTCGGTCGGTTCCTTCGAAAAGAAATCAATCCTGGTATCGATTCAATAATTTCACCTTCTTATTTATAAGAAGTGCCTACCTGTTGTAGGAAAGTGAATTTGTGTCGCTTGCGAAAATATATATCGAAATATTTGCACGTTGACGCGGGTAGGTGTCGCCATTTTTCTCGAAGAGATCGGACGATCGTTACAATCTTCCCCCCCCGTATAACACGCGGCATGGAAAGAGCTCGGGGATACGAAGGGTATTAAGGGATTACAGCATCGTCTGGCGGAGGCTTAGCCCGAGAACCGACGCGACACCTCGATTTTCTCGTTCGAGACTTAACTAAATACCGAGTCGAACCACTCCTCGAAAACAAAGTTCTCGCTTTCCCTCGATGGACGCGAGAGGGTACGCCGTGTGGTTCGCGGAACGAGAGACAAAGTCTTCTTACGAAAAAATAGGATTTCGTCCCTCTTATATATTTATATATATTCAGCGTCGCCGTTCCATTCGATAGACGCGATGTCGTTTCCGTTGCAACGAGTCGTGGACAGTTTGCCGTCTTTCCAAGCGTTTTTTCCCCCAAACTATATCGCCGGACAGCTTCTCTTCTCTCGTCACTCTCTCTCTCTCTCTCTCTCTCTGTTAAACTCGTTCCTTTTTTGCAAAGATAAACTCCGCAACGGTATGAATATAAACGAGCGACGTTGTCGATGCGCGTTCGGGGAATCGAAGGAAAAATGAGACAGTGCCGATCCGAGCGACAGGCGTACTCCGTTTTTATATCCGGCGATTCGAAAATTTTAGGGAGGGGAAAAACGAAAAAAAAAAACCTATTTTTCCGCCTATTTCTCGATCCACGCGCGTTGAATTTTTCTCCAGCGATTACGAATCGAATCGACGAGTTCTCTCCGATTTTTCCACGTTCGCATTTCCGTGGAAAATTGATTTCCCCCCTCCCGGTAATTGCTCGTACACGCGACTCGTTTGCAACGCGAGTCGTGCTTTAAAGGGAAGGCCGAGAAACAGCGGAATTATTGCTTGGCATGGCGTTCGAACATTTCATTAAACTGGCGCGCTGACAAACGTGCGGGATAGCGGGGAACAGGCAGGAAGCCGACGTCAGCGGAAGTATTTTTAAAGGTAACTCGTCGTGGGCCAACAATTTCGCTCCCTCTCTTTATCTCTCTCTTTCTCTTTCACCGGGACCGTGATTAGTATGTCACGGAAAACGCGTGAGAATGTTTCTGTGTGTGCTAATGACGGACGGGTTAATTCAATCGCCATTCCCCTTCCCACCTCTCCGCCCTTCCATTCCGTTTTCGTTTATATTTTCCAACGATTCGAGCCACACGCGTCTATTTTCCATAGAAACGAGCGATTAGGGAACGAGAGAGAGAGAGAGAGAGAGAGAGAGAGAGAGTCGAAAGAATCGGTTGGTTTCGGTCGTTGAACGAGACGACGAGAAGCGATTCGATTCCTTACGCGTGCGTTTCGTTTCATCGTTCTCGGCTCAAAGGGAATGCGACGTCGTTTCCCGATCCATTTCATCCGAATCGCATCCGAGACGCGAGAACGATATCGATCGTTCCGTTGTTACGTAATAAAAATGTGCGAGTAGGACGCATACAAAGAGACGCATAACCTTGGACGAGCAGTCAACGATGATATCTCATTCCGTGTGTGTTTCAGTCCCGTGATTCATTTTTCACGTGGATTCGTGCGGGAAAGTATTTCCGTCTCATTATCGATATCCGGTGAAAACCGAAAAAAAAAAAAAAAATATACACGCCGTGTATTTTGATATGGCTAGCATTTCGAGGAGAAATTATCGTTTGCTTAAAAAGAACGCGATATCGGTTTGAACAAGAGGAATCAAAGACGAGTGGATCATAGTTTGAATTGAATTTTCGAGGATTATTATTAATAAAGGAAAACTCCTCGTTCGTACCAAGGTATTCTTGATCGTATCTCTTTTTCTTTTTTTTTTTCTTTTCCCCCCCATCCAGTTGTCGTTCTCCAGTCGCCTCTCCGCGATTCGACCTAATAGAAATTCACTTGTTGATTTTCAAACGCGACACAGGGCAAAGGACTTCCGTTTCATTATGGAGATTTTTAACTATCTAATTATTATTCATCGCCGCCCGAGTCGTAACACGCAAATTATTCCGAGAAATTATTCTAGGGACTCTATTAAAATCCCTCTCTCTCCCATTCTTTCCTCTCTTTTCATCGTTGCGGAATTACGGGCGAGAGGTGCGGTATTATCCCATCGAGAGGGATGATATTTGCAATTACATAAATTTTACGACGGTTGAAATTGAACTCTCCCCTCTCCCGCCGCCGTGGGAAACCATCGTCATCTGTAGCGGCAATAAAAATGGAAATATTCTCAACTCTCCTCCGTTTGACGCGCCCCCAATTACAGGTCATCCCGATTTTACTCTTTTTCCCCTTTTTTACTCGGTTCTTGGCAAATATGTACGAACCGTCGCGTCGTCCGATCGATAAACTCTACATTTTTCCTTGCATTTTAATCGCTTCCGAAACACTATGTCTATTCACATCGCGTTTGTATATATTTATCATCTCTCGATTCCGTTTCCCATAATATAATTTATATCCAGGATCGAACCTATCCTGTCTTTCACTCGACCATCATCGATCACACTTCACCTTCGAAACATCCTATACGAAATCTATAGGATCTAGAATAGGACGACCCCCTAATTGACCCCAACATTTTTTCCCAAAATCCTAAAACGCAAAGAAAGAACGAAGAAATATTTCTCACCGATGGAACGCACTATTCGTTTCATTTTCTTTTTTTCTCTTTTTTTTCTGATCGTCAGGACGTGGAATTACTGGAGGGGACGATCCCATCGGAGGCGATGGAAGTCGAGGTCTCTCATTGCAGGGAGTTGAGGATCCAATCGGGCGCTTTCGCGGATGGAGCACCTTTGAAACGGGTTCACGTGTCCGGGATCTACAGCCTGGTCGCGAAGAGGCAGGCGTTTCAGAACTTGAGCGCCCCTAACACGCATCTCGAGGTGTCCGAGTGCAACAGCGTGATCCTCGAAAGTCACGCGTTCAGGAACTCGCGGGGGACGCTGAGCGTTTCGATATCCAGATGCAGGAACGTAGGGATCAAACCGAACGCGTTCTCCAGGCTGCTCTGGATCACCGTGAGGGAGGTGCCTACCCTCGACCTGTCTAGCAACGCGTTCAAACTCGAAGCTTCTCAACACGGAAGGCATGGACCAGCGACCAAGGTCATCCATCAATCGTTCCAACCTTAATTCAGAGATTTTTCTTCATTCTAAAATCTTTTAAAATCTACATCTAGACTGTTCCGTTTCGTCTTCTTCTCTGTTTACGTTTAGAAAAAAAGATTTATTTCTATCCCTGTCCTTGGACAACGGCAAACGAAAACGACGCGTTTGCTTGGGAAAATTTGGCGATTCGCCAACAGAGTAGGCCCCCTTTCCCTCCCCCAGAATCTCGAATCTCGATAATCTCGATTTCTCGAATTCCCTTTGCGCAGATTATGTTCCAAAGCGTGAGAATTACGGAGTTGCCGACAGCGGTGTTCCCATCGGCGGTTGCCGAGGTCCGCATGGACGATATCTGGACAAAGGTGATACGCAAGAACGCTTTCTGCGCCATGACGATCTTCAGCGTGACCATAAGCAACGCGTCGATTCTGGAGATCGAGACTGGAGCGTTTAGCGACAGAGCGTTAATCCACAGCCTCGAGTTCGTCGACGTCAGGTTGAAGAGTATAGAGAGAGGAGCCTTCCGGGCCGGCCACGACAACCTCACCATACAATATTCAAGGTAGAGCTCGCTCCCCTCGTTTCCCTTTGTCTCGCTCGCTGTTTGATCAGAGATCTCCCATGTTTGCGTTCCTCTCCTTCCGATTGTCGCTCCCTGCGTTCCAACCAACCAACGTTCCAAGAGAACAACGCGAAGAAAATCGCGGCCCGAAATTCTTCCCTTCGATCGCAATTTTTTCGAGAAGAATTAATCGGCGTTCGATAATTAATGCGTCGCCTCTTTTAATAAAACTCGAGCGAGACTTTCCAACTCACTCAACAAAATTCAAAGCAAACGGAACGTTCCTCTCGCGTTTTCCAGACTGTCCGAGGTGGATACAGGCGCCATCGACATATCCGCCGCTACCGTCAGCTTCAACAACAACGAATTCCTGAACCTGCACCAAGGCGCGATCGTCCTCCACCAGTGGAACCACATAGCCATCGATTACAATCTGTTCGTCGAGTTGGAGACGGACGCGATCACGGCCGAGGTGGACGCGACCTCGGCCCCCAACTTCGAGTTCTCGTTCACGGGGAACCACGTGGAGAAGGCGAGGCCTGGCTCCTTGAAATTCGCCGCGATCTCGCAACGGGTGAACACGGCCAGGGTCGGTAACAATTACTTCAAGGAGCAGTGCAGATGCGGCCTGGACAATTGGATACGCGAGGTGACGGGGAAGAACAGCTCCGTCTCGTGGATGATGGACTCGAGTTTCTGCGTGGTCGATCAACTTCTGGACAAGTGCTTCAATCTGCCCCAGGGCTACATGTCCATGAGAAACTTCACCAGGATCATTTGCGCGCCCGGGGATCACATCGTTTGCGAGAAACCGTCCGCGAAACCGGAGCCGACCGTCAGCCCGCCGAGCGTCGGCCCCCACGTCTACCCGAGGCACAAGGGTTACTTCGACGTGGAGATGAGCGATTCCGACCAATTGCAACGCGAGAAGAGGATCATCGTGGTGATCTGCGTGCTGGCCGTCTTCGTCGTCTTGGTCGTAATCCTCACCTCCGGAATATTGTACATGCGTCGAAGCGGCGTCTGCCCCAAGCTAACCTCCGGCCACCTCGCGAATCTCACCGGCTGGTTGTCGGCCAGCGGTGGAATGACGGCAGCCACTTCCGCCAGGTCGATATCCAGGTTAAGCGTGCACGAGTACGCGGGCCTTCAACCGGAGACGCGGATCCTCGACGTGGAAACGTCCCAGGCGGAGGAGGGGACGGAGGAGGAGGAGGAGGATGAGGAGGAGGGGGAGGGGGAGGAGGGGGCTGCCGAGGGATTGTACCAGCCTTACACCGAGAACAAGGCCACGCAAACGTTGCCCGAGGAGTTGACCGAGGAGTACCTGAGGGATCTGAGGGAGAGGCTGAACGATCCTGACAATTATAATCAGGCGAGGGACATGATAGAGCACCTGTACGATCTGATCAAGGTGGAGGAGAGTTGCAACAACAACAACAACAACAACAACAACAACAACAACGAAAACGACAACGATCGGCAACGAGCATCGGGGAACAGAGGGGAGGAGAACGCGTACGACGTGATCGAGCCTAGGCAGAGGAGATTGAGGGGAGCGGGCAGCAGCAAGCCGTCCGTGAGCGTGGGTACGAAAGCGCCCTCGTTGGAAAAGCTGTTGCCGAGCGGAATACAGGCTAGGCCGCCTCTCACCGAGTACACCGAGCCACGCGATCGAAGGGCCAACGAGCAGAATCACCTGTACGCCGAGCTACCCGGCGACGAAACCGTGCCCAGCACCAGCCGACTCTCCCAGCCGATCCTCGCGACCTTGGCCGGAAGAGCGCCTCAACCGTTGCCACCGGACGTGGTCAACGATCATCTTCTCGTCGAGCATCGTCGCTCGGCCGAGAATCGAGATCCGAGGCCACCGCCTTTGGATTCGAAGCTCGAACCCCCTTCGAGGAATCAGGGCAGACCTATGAGCTTCTTGAAGGCTCTGGGCGAGACTATCCTCGGCGGGTCCAAGTCGACAAGCGGCGGTGGCAACAACAACAACAATAACAACAACAATAACAAAAGGCCCAACTCGTTGCTGTGCGAATACGCCGAGCCGTCAGACGCGACTGCCCACTTGTACTCCGAGCTACCCGAGCCGCAAACCTCCGCTCCAACGAGCAAGATGGCGAACAGGCCATTACCCACCAAACCCGACCAAGATTCCGTGAACGTGGCGAGGGCATAACGAACGCCCTTCGTCGATTGTCTGTGATAATAAGTAGAGCGCGAGAGTTGCGAGAGACTATTTTGTTCGCTATTGTTCGCGTAAATCGTGCTCTCTCTCTCTCTCTCTCTCGTTTCTTTTCCTAATAATTTTCGTTCGTCGAGCAACGATGAATTCGCGCGAGAATCCGAGCGCGTTTCGAGTCGAGTCTCGTCGGGAAGAAACGTCGAACAGTGCCAATAAGGATCGATTAATTTTTTAACGGTATTAGTTTAATATGCTTTTGTAAGAAAAAAAAAAAAAGAAAAGAAAAAAACAAGCGGAAGAAGAAAAGAATAGGGAAATTTTTCAGCAAGGATGAATCTTCGTTTCGTCGTATGTTATTTTTTTCTTTTTCTTTTTTCGATTTTCGTTTTCGGAACAACGAAAAACGAGTTTTATTTCAACGACTGGCCCGAGATGTATCATAGATTTATATATATATATATATATTTGCTTCGTCAGATATCAAATTAAAGGAGTAATTCATATTTTTCTCGTCTATTTTTTATTCCCTATCTATTCGTTCGTTCCGTGACTCGAGGGAATTGTATTATTATCCACGTCTATACATATATCCCAATATATCCCAAGTTCTAATTTCCTTTGTATATTGGCGGCGCTTCTTTTCCTCTCCTCGAATCTCGGTCGTAAAGTTGTCGAAGAAAACGTTGCGGCAACAGTTGTTATTATTATTATAATATTCGAGAAAAAGTAAGAAAATTCATTTCGCCACGGTGAAACCACGAAACCTGGTCGCATTCGCAATTTTATCTTTCCCACGAGGGAAGCTCGTACAGTTGTCTTACATCCACCGAGTTTATAAGTCGCAATTACGAACCTCGCAAATATCTTACATCCGTAAAGTTTCTCTCCCCGCATTTTCCCTTTGGACTAATTCTACCACCACTTCAGTTCAGTTTCGCACTGCTTTTTCCTTCGCCAGTTTTGTCGCGAATATCGCGCAACCACGATAACCAGATTCTTCAACGACTCTCGTAATCGCTTCGCACGTTCGCATGACCTAGAAATCCACTTTTCCCTTCTTCTTTCCACACGTGGCACGGAGAACATTCACGAATCTCACGTACTATATTTACTTTTCGCTTCGTTTCGCCTTCACTCTCTCTCTCTCTC